CCGCCGATGCCTTTAACCATCGGCGTAAACCTCTATACCCACCTACCCGCCGCTACACTGATGCACGGAAAAAAATTTAATGGTAAGTGTTGAGTCTCCGATTTATAAGCTATTTTATTTTAAATATTTAAAATAAAAGAGAATATATAATTTTAAATATTTTATTTATATTCCGTTAATAAATTATAAAGTTTAACATAAACATTTAACAGAATTATGTTAAACTTCTGCAACATTTACAGTGGTGTTGCCAGCAACAATGGTTGCTGGGTGACATGTTCTAGCAACATTTGCTAGTTAGGTGTTGCTCAACAAGTTTCTGGCAACATTTGCCTATATTTAAATGTTGCTCAACAAGTTTCTGGCAACATTTGCCTATATTGAAGTGTTGCGCAGCATTTTTCTAGCTACATTTTGTATTTAATTTGAGTTTTTTATAAATTTAAGCATAAGTAGAGTATAACTATGATAGACCTATCATTGATTGATAAATAAAATAAATAAATAAATAGATAAAAAAGTAAATATATCAAGTTATGAAGAAGTATTTCAACATTTTTACTTTGTAAAAATATTATTTAAATTGCCATTTTAGTTCTCAGTGCACTCATTTCAGCACCCAGCGAATGGCAACGTTGTTGTTGATAATGTGCACAGGGGCTGTTCAAAAAAAAAAAAAAAAAAATAAAAAAAAGGGAGGCACACACCCATGCAACGTTATTAAATCATAAAGCGCAAGCTGCCACCGCCGTCTGATGTCGCCCCCATATTCCCACATCAAGAACAAATAGCACTGATAATGCTTAGGGATGCGGTGCCTGGAATCAAGCCGGAAAATAGTACCATGAAGCTAATTTGAAATTAATATGGGCCACAATAATTATTAAATACTTAGTAAAATGTAAACTAAATTGTTCTGATTACTTTGAAGAATTGGAACTTTGCTTTATGACTCACTTGAGCTCTTGAGCTTTCTGTGTGCTTTCTGCAAAACCGCTATATAAAAGCCGAAACCAAACTCAACATTCAGTAAAGGATTAGCTTCTTGGGAGAAATCGACTTCAGTTTCTGTTTGTACTTCGCAATGCACGTATTGCGACTTCTGGGACTTGGAATTGTCTTCGGGCTGCTGCTGGTGGGAATCGCTGCCAGGCAGGACCTTGGACAAAAAAGAAATTGGGCCACTCGATACAGCCCTCGCTGGGCCAACTCAAGAAATCTTCCCGAATCAAAGATGACACGCGCCAGGCAATGGTTAAAACGTCAACCACAGTGGAACATTTTTGGATGATCTGCAACTCTTCGAAGAAAAACTGCCTTATACCTCACCAAGGATATTTTTTTTTTTTTTGTGTTTCGTGTTAATAAATGTTTAATAGAAAGAAGTAATTGTAGTAATTATAAAGAAAATGGAGAAAACTAATAAAAGAATTCCTAAAATATCAATACAAATGAGTAATGCATTTGGAAATATATTTTTATAAATAAATAGTCATTAAAGCATGTAAGATTCTTAGTCATTAATACAATCACTACATTACTCTCGCTCTCTTATCGGTACTGGACTGCAGTCAGCTTTCACATCTTATTTGGTGTCATCTTCGTTTCATGTGGGGTTCCTGGCTTGGGGAAACATGGGTAGTATTGTGGAGGCCTAAGAAATCGTTTTCTAACCAATACTTATGGCTGAGTTTATAAATAAAAATGTTTTTCAACAAGTCTTGTTCGCAGAAACATATGATTTCTTTATTTTTAGAGTTAGTTTTCAATTTCTGGCACAAATATTAAGTATACGTATCAAGAATACGAAGTAAAGGCTATAAAAAGTAAACGTGAGCCATCGAAAGCATAATCACCATCAGAAATGAAACCATTTGAGAGCCACAGATGACTCATTTAGTAGCACTTTCACCATTTAGATTACATTTCCCCTGAAGTTTTCATCATGATTGCATGGATTTCGGGGATTCTTTTGCTTTGGAGTATGGGGTTCTTTCCGGAGGTTATGCCAATTTAGAGACCATTCAACTAAGTCCCATATCCTTGGATTTTGATAACCAAAAGACACGCATGAACAATGTAACAATAGCAATAATAAAGCTTAGGGTCAAGCCAAAGCAAAGCCAAGATCTAAGAGGTCTATAGACCTACCAAGCTACAATAAATATATAATATCCAGCAGAAAATAAACCAAAGTGTTGTAGTCATCTTGAAGAATTCAAACTTTACATGAGCTTTCTGTGTGCTTTCTGCAAAATCGCTATATAAAAGCCGTAACTAAACTCTACATTCAGTAAGGCATTAACTTCTCGGTAGAAATCCACTTCAGTTTCTTCTTGTACTTCACGATGCACGTACTGCGACTGCTGGGACTTGGAATTGTGTTCGGGTTGCTGCTGGTGGGGATCGCTGCCAGGCAGGACCTTACCATAAACGAAAATGCGGCCTATCTATACAGAACGACCTGGTCGAACCCAGGAGTTAGATCCGCCGTGACATCCGAATCAAAGATGGAGCGCGCCAAGAAATGGTTAAAGCGTCAAAGCTTTTGGAGCATTTTTGGCTGATCTGCAACTTTTTGAAAAATAACTGTCTTATATCATCAAGGATATATTTTTTTTCATTGTGTTTTGTGTTGATAAATGTTTAATACAAAGAAGTGCATTTTGAATAATTAATAAAATAATTCTAAGAATATCACTACAAATGTGTAATGCGCAATGTGAAATATATTTTGATAAATAAATAAAAATTAAACCATGTATATATTCTTAGTCATTATCATATGACAACACTACTGGCTCTCTTATCGGTACCTAACTCCAGTCTTAGTCAGCTTTCAGATCTCAGAATGAAGAACTATTTGGTTTCATCTTGGGGTTCCTGGTTTGGGGAAACGTGGACAAGATTGTGAGACCGAAATGGAGGCCTAAGAATTCCTGACTTTATAAATAGAAATATTTATCAACAAGTCTTGTAAGCAATTAGTTCTAGAAACCGATAGATTCTTTAGTTTCGTAGGCGCTCTCTTATGCATAAAGGGTGCATCAAGGCCAGGAAGGAAACTCCCTTAAATTACCCGTTTTCTAAACAAAATTTATTAATAAAAAAGAATTAAGAAAGAGTTTAATGCATAGAGCTTCTCGGATGAATCCACAAACTGATAAGCTTTGCAGAGGCTTAACGCGAGCTCTAGAAACTTTTCAGTCCGTCAGTTGTTTATCTGCCTTCAGTATGCACAAGTCGTTGGCCCTGCTCGCTCTCATTACTCTGACTTGGTGCCCGGCACGATCTGCTACTGCCTATACCTTGGAGGACAAGATGGCCTGCCAGAAGATGGTCAGCCGGACGCCAGAAGAGGCATGGCATTGCCGCAAAGTGATTCAGGAGCTGGACAACGAGTTTCACAAGTGTTGCTTGCAAAGGAGAAAGACGCACTCTTTCGACAATTGCCTGTCCTGTGATACAAGCAGTCCCAATGTGACGAGTGATTCAACCCAGGACGAAATTCGATCATCACTTGGAGGCTGTCCAAGAAGAGATCTTGCAGGGAAATGTTTACCAAGAAACCGAAACTGAATAATACTTAGTATTTTGTTTTTCTTTTTTTAATAAATTAAAGAGAGTAGTGCTGAATAGTTATAGATTTTCAACGTAATGTGTTTTGTTTATAAATTTAAAAGTTGCTTAATAAAGTTTAATATATTATATAAAATTGTAATAAAAGGAAAACCCAACTCAACGCTTGAGAAGATCACTGAGGCGGGCCTTTAAGGGCCACAGAAGTAGCCACGCCAGGCCCTAAGATTTATACAGCAATTTGCCAAGTTGTATTGTAAAACTAATAAATTGTCGCCGCTAACTTGAATAATGTGTGAGAGGGTCTCTCTCTCTCTGTCTGCCTCGTGTGTGTGTGTGTGTGTGTGAGTAAAAGTATCTGTGTGAGGCAAAGTATCTGGCTGCCGTCTGCCTTCGGAGGCGGCACAATTATTATCCTGCTTGGTTGGCTGGCTTTCCTGGCAGCCAAAAGAGCGGGCCGTGGCATAACTTTTAAATAAACTTTCATAATTTTGCATACTTGAGATAACAAATTGCATGTTGCAAGTCGTTTCCTCTTGCCACAGTCCGGGTGGGAATGGGAATGGGAATGGGAATGGTAGAATGGGTGTGCCTCTCCTCTTGACTGTGTGCATTTGTTGTTTGCCTCGTAAGTTGTAAACTTTAAATTAGATTGTTTCTTGCCTGGATGTTTCTATTTCAGTGTCTCTACTTGGATGACTTGGACTTGTCTGGTAGCTGCGTTTTACGTTTCTTTTTAATTTTTTGCTATCGCCCAGTGGCTCTCGCAGCTTGATTGACATTTGATCTCTGATAAGGCAGATCGTACTGTCTCTATAATCATACTCGTGGCTTAATCTGTCACATGATCTGTTTTAAAATTAAATCTGTGTATATTTTATATTAAAAAAAGGTATTTAAAGCATAGTATTGGTAAATTTAAGCCCATTTTTAGAGTTAAATTGATAAATATTCACAGCTCATTTCGTTAGAATGTTCACTGGATGTGGTACATTGTGACACAGCTTTCAAGGAATATATGTATTTTTATTTGTAAAAAATTATACATAATCCAATGTATATGTCCAATATTTATATATATATAAATATACATTTAAATTTGTAATATACGTTTATATCATTAATCAAGGCAAGTGGTTTTTTATTTAGTCACTTAATTATTTTATCAAGTCTGCAAGTCCATCAAATTGATCAAGAAAATGAATTATTCTTATGTTAATTAAATAATTTAAAGTCTTATTAATTCAAAATATATTCAGAATTCTACTTTTGAGCGGCATAAAGATTAGGTATTTTGCTGCAGATCATAATAGAAGTTCTTCAAGTCTAAAAAAAAAATAAAAATAAAAACCTTATCAAGCTAGTCATGACTTTCCACCAGCCCAGCAGCTACTTATTCAGTCTGAATTGATTCTTCGAACAAGTACAAGTGTTTCCCGAAAAAAATAAAACATATTTCATTATATTTTAACAACAATTATTTATTCTTCAACATTTATTTTGCTATCTCAACTCTTCTTCTCATTCACTTCAAGGTATTTTTTGATTTAATTTTTTATTTATTTTCCTATATTTTTTTAAAAATATATTTAAAATGCCTGATATGAGCTACTCTGCTATTGCTCAACACAAGCTTTCATTTAATTTCATTCTTGACCTCTGGACCTCTTAACCAGCATGGCTTTATCCGTCTGTTAACTTTCCCGCTTGCCTCTTGTTTTTGTATTTTATTTTATTTTTCATTTTGTTAAATTAATTTTCAAATTTTTATTAAAATTGAAAGACGTAGTTTTTCTTACTTTTCTTACTTATTATTATTATTTTATTTATATTTAAATTTCCAACACAAATTACCCTCAATGTGTCTTGCTGTGCCATTAAAGTGCAATTAAATTTACCAAAATAGCTGTTTAAACACCAACCGATTATATTAATTTCATATCATTGTAAAGGGAGGATGGGGAGGGAGCACGGAGCAATTAGTAAACAGTGGGTGGTCCATTAGTTGCACACACACACGCACGGGGCGCCGCCTTGAGGCCGGACAAAAAGGCAATTAACAAAGATTTTGTGGCCAATAGTTGTCAACAGATTGTTTAATTTGTGCCATAAGTGTGCCAGCAACAAAAACAGGCCAACAATACACCAAATGACCAACTGACCAAACACACACACACACACACATGCTACGACACGGACAATATAATGTCATATTTAACAAGGCCCAGGTCATTTTTGGGGGGTTATCAGGGGTATATAATAGATGGGGAAAAATATTAATGACTTTCTTGGTTACATTTAAGATATTTTCAAAAGGTTAAGGTAGCTTTTTGTGGTTACTTAAGGTTCATATATCATAATTTGAGATCAAAGTTTAATGTCTCTTGGGTTTTCCTTAAAAATTAATAAATTTTTAAAATAATAAACAACGTACATATGTTTAAATATTTCTGTTGAAAGGCTTTGCTAAGCTTGCATTAACATTTAAAAAATTCTCAAAAATTTTAAACTATTTTAAATTATTTTATTTGTATTTTTACTATTATTATTTGTATTTAAAAGAACTAAATTTATTTAACAGTGCCTTCAAATAATCATTAGTCAGCGATCGCAGCCGAGGGCTTTTGTTGGAGAGCCCCTTGGCTGGCTGGCGGTAACTTCCGAATTGAGTAAATTGACCCTCGTCGTGGGTGACTCGATGGGAGTTTTGTTGTTCTTTGCAACCCTCTCCCAATGGGGGGCTCTTCTAGCGCCCCTCCTCGGGTTGCACTTTTCAAAGTTTTGGGGCCAGAAAAACCGCAGCTAAAGTGCCCCTTCTATATATTATTCAGCTCTCATGACCCATCGAAGTGCATGTTGGGGTCCCAACATGGAGAAACTTCAATATAAAAGTAGCGAAATATCGATAAAAATATATAAACAAATAAAATAAATACAATAAAAATATCGATAAATAAAAAAAACAAATTTTTTTAAAATATATCTAAACATAGTTAATAATGTATTTGTTTGTCAATAGAAATACCGAATACATATAGGAAAAAATGTATAAAAATGTTTATTTATTCGTTATAATTTCGATATGATATAAAAATCGATATACAAATAACAGAAAATGCCATTTTATCGATACTGTAAATCTATTAATTGATATTTTAAAGTTGCGATATAAATCAATACTTGGCTTGATATATATTCGATTATTTTTATCGTAAAAAAGGAATCAAAAGAGACTTCAATTGTTCGATAGTATCGATATTCAATATTTAACATTGTTTTATATAAAATAACGATAGTCTTGAAATCAAATTGTGCATATTAATTTTTGTCGATATACAATTTCAAACTCTCCTGTTCGATATACATACATATCGATAGGTTGTGTCATCGCTGATGCCTGTTAAGTGTTAAAAGACGCTGCAAGTGTCATGGGGGAATGGCAAGTGCCAAGACGGAGACATGCATAACGGTATAGATATGGACAAAGACCGTGAAGTTCGTTGCTGTTCTGTTTCAGTTTCGGTTTCAGCCTCGGCATATGTCTTAATTTTTGACCGAAGTTTGCAGTTTCCACCTCCTGCCACCAACGCCCTTTCAACCCCTTCGACGAGCCACTGCCACTGCCACTGCTGTTGTTGTTGTTGTTGTTGTTGGTGTTTGAAATAAACTTTAATGAGTTTTCTGCTTTTCAGCCACAAAAACCACTTAACCGGCACATATGCAAGCACAGGGGCTGCAAAACTGCCGGGGAAGCTGCAGAAACTTTAGCCGGGCTCTCAACATTTTTGGCCAGCCAAGTTAACATTGCACACACACCAACACATACTCACACTGAAACACATATTTTGGGGCTTTAAATATATATGTTTATACACATATAGATCCGGCTAGGCGAAGGCAATGACCAGGGGGAAAGCGGAAAAAAGCAAGGAATGTAAATTTTTTTGTTTTGGCCCACAGAGGAAAAACATGAGGGGAAAAATGGGTTGAAACCCACATTTATGGCCGGCAAATTTCCCGCTTAGTGCTAACCAATCAACTGTGGCAAGTCCCAGTTTTTGGCATCGCCGGGTTTTGGTTCCATTTTCTGCAGCGATCTGAAAGTCAAAAAGGGGCCCCAGCTGCGGCCGTTGGCCCTATTTTTCCTAAATTTAATTTCTCATGGCTAGCGACAACATGTCGTATGAGTAATGCATGCACTACAAGGCCCACCATCGGTGCCCTTTTTTTTGAGGTTTCTCTTTTTTTTTTTTTTTTTTGCCAGAATTCAAATGTCTCTTGGCTAATAAAGCGGTCATTCACTGTGGCAACGGGTACGGGGGTGTGTGGCCAGCATTGTCAAAGTTTTATGAGCGGTCAAGCTCGCGCATTTCAAGCGTCTTTCGTTTAATTACATTTGCAGAACATTCAGCTGAGCTAAAGTACCCTGTAAATCCAAGGCGTATATAGGTTTGAGGGTTTATAATATTTATTTATAATATTTTTTAGAAGATATTAAGATTTTAATATGGTTTAATATATTTTTAAAGGGATAAAAATAGTTTATGGGGGGTTTTAAAATTTTTAAGGTTTTCAAATACTACTTGATAATGCTAAATAAATATCTAGAAATATTTCTTCCTGCTTATATAGCTACTTAAGATATACCTAATTGAGGTTTATAAAGTAGAGAGATAAAGTACCCTGGAAAAGCCAGATATAAGGTATATTGTAGGTTTATTATCTTTTTTGAATATCTAAATATAATATTCCAAGATTTGTAGACTGTTAAATAGATATTATAGAAGAGAAAAATAGTTGAAAATAATTAGTTGTGGTTTTTAAACCCGAAAATATTTTTTATAAAATATATAAAACCTTAAAACCCACATATATTCTTTGTTTTAATGTAGTTCTATAATGTTTTATTACCTTAAATGTACCTATTTTTCCTCACAGGGTATTATACCCTTCTATTTATTTGTGAACAACATTTTTTCCTTTATAACTTTGTTGCCACGGGGTGTTCCCAAAGTCGTTCATCCAGCAGGTCATGTACAGACAGCTGTCGGTGGCCACAGCACCTAACCTACTTCCCCCTACCTACTCCTTCCTGATGGCTCCTTCTGCCTGATTTTTTTGTTTGTCAGTGTTGGTCCTGCAATTACTTTGCGGCCAAAGCCAAAAACTAAATGTGAACGCGACGCAGCTGCCGTTAGCATAAAGTAATCAAAAAAGTTTTGCTTTATTGTGGGGCGGCGGCACGGCACACTCATCATCATCATCATGGAAGCTGTAGAAATGCTAGAGTAAACCTATAACACGGCTATTTTTGGTTGTTTCTTAAAGGAAAGAGAGAGGGGGGAGAGACTGCAACCTTGAGCCAGATAAATGTCTGAATGCAATAAAAAATTGATAAGTTTTTCCCGATTTCTCTTGCCTTTGTCTTAGGTTTTTTTCCCCCCTCAACTGCTAAACTTAATTGTAGAGGCAAGAGTGTGGCAGGAGCACGATGTATAGAGTGCTAAGGCCAATTCCGTATTATTCGCACGTAATTCGATGAAATTTTAATAATCCAGCTACGAAGGTAATAAAGAACTTTTGGACATGTGGGAGGGCTGAAGGCCGTTTCCTGTCTCACGTGTGGTTACCTCTAGATAAGCAGGGTATGCTGTTGTCTAAGGTACTTGGCGTTCTTTATGAAATTGTTTTAAATTTTATAAACAATTTAAAACTATTTAACAGATATTTTAGTTATGTTAAAAATATATTTTAATCCTGGGCCAGGATAGCACCCATTCGATCTAAGCCATACCTGCCTCAAGGGCTTGACACCTGGAGCACACACATACACACCTACCTCCCACCCACACCCACACTTACCCCAAACTATTGAACAAGTTGATTGGGCTTTTGACTTGATTTCGCATTGATTGCAATTGCAATTTTAGCAGGAGCTGCAGCGGGTTGGGTGGGGTGATGCGGGAAATTAATTAAAATTACTTACCGACTGGGCAAACAATTCACTTGATTTCTCTATTATATTGGGCGCCAATTAATTTGCTTAAATTTTCATGCCAAACACAAAACACGAAGCAATGCTAAAAATTTAATTAAAATTGAGCAAACAAACACATCACGAGTACTGAACCGAACGCCAGCTAGTTAGACGATTCAGGCTATGATGCTGATTCAGATACTGTTTCTGATTCTGATTCAGATTCTGGTTTTGGTTTCGGTTTACTTTGTAGCCAAAGAACACTTGCCTGGTCCTCTTGCCACTGACAAGTGCAGTGCAAACACATGACGCATTCACCGTTGGCGGCCCAAAAAAGCGAATTTCATTTGTGGCAAATGGCAGCAAACTAAATTGCTCAAAAGAGGGAGAGAGAAACTGGGCACTTGCTACTCGTCCTGGCCAGAATCTAAGCACTCAACCGACCCCCCTTGTCTCACTCCATCCATTTGTTTGGCCAGTCCATTTCCTTGGTCTTATTAAAAGTTGCTGGCATTCTTGTGTTTACCTAGCACAAATGTCAAATCAGTTGGAAAAATG